TTAAGATTTGTATTTTACATTTAGGTGTAGGATCCATTTGTCATCAATATGTGTGAACGGTTAATGTCTATGCAATGTTTATGCTTATTTTTTACTAAATATTATATCGAGAATTTCTGTTGTAGTTAAGAATATTTCCAAAATATGATGTATATTTTCTGTACAATGCTTGAATTTCTGCATCTACCATACTAACCAATTAAACACAAGAAGCAAATGCTAAAACTAGAATTAGGACTTGCATCAACTTCTAAATGCGGGCCATCCCCTGTCCCTGTCCTCACGCGGACACAGGCCCTGTGCCTGGTCCTGGCCTGCTCCACTTTCCCACAGGCTCAGCACTGTGGGATTGTCGTCACCTGGTGCTCGTCCCCCACATGGAGACCGGGGCGTGGGAGGCCGTAGTCTCCTTCCCTCACTGGATGGGAAAGGGCTCCGTGGATGGGGGCAGGGAGGCCCTCAGGGCTCTGCCCGTCCTCACCTCAGTCTATCAGGTTCACAGGGACCCTTCCCTCCCACTGGCATCTGCCCACAGTCCTGGATGTGTCCACAGGGACTGTGATAAGAATGTGAAGAGGGTTTCTCAGCTGTGGCTGGGTGGGGTGACACAGCGATGAGATGTGAGTGGATGGGGCTGCGGGCACAGAGTCAGGTGTGTCTGACCACGGATGCTTGTGCTGTAAGGTGACGAGACACATAAGAAGAATGAACATTCCCCAGCTCCTGTTCTCCATGGCAATTCAGTCTGTCACATAATTGAGTCTCATCTCCATATTAGAGCAGATATTTATAAGATGGAGGGACATATTTTATTTCTGAAATCTCATGAATTGGCAAGCTACAAATAAACAATCTGCTGTCACACAGTGAAACACTCTTACTGTGGGCACAGGACACACAAGGGGGTGATCAATTTAGCTTGGGGAGGTGTGTTGTGAGGAGTCAACTTGGAAGGTGATTTGGAGAAGATGAACATTTAAATTGGTGAATTTGAGTAAAGCAAATTGCTCTCCATAATATGGTGGGCTGATCCAATCAGCTGACTTCCTGAAACCAACTAAAAGATGGGTCTCTCTGAACAAGAAGGAACTCTCCAGAAGATGCCTCACACTGCATCTGCACCATCCACTCTCCTGGGGCTCCGGCCTCCCGGCCTGCACTGCAGAGGTTGGACTTGCCAGCCTCATAGTTATGTGAGCCACTCTTTGCAATAAGTCTCCCTCTTGTCCCTCTCTGCCTCACTGTGTCATTATCCCTTTCTCTGTGTACACACAAACACACACACACACACACACACACTCACAGATTTTCTTGCTTCTGTTTCTCTGGAGAACCTTGGCCAATATAGGAAGTTGAGGCAGACTTAATGGTAGATGACACTTGTGTCCACCTTTTAGCTTGACTGCTTCTTGGCTAGTGCAAAAGGGAACACCTTCTGGGAATGTGCCCGAACTGAAAGCCTGGAGGCACAAAGGTAGGACAATTGGTGAAACTTGAGCAGCTCTGAGCAGAGACGTCTGGGTGGGAATCTGTTTGGGTGATGGTCCCATGGTTGGCAGGAGTGTGTCCCGCTGTGCAGGGGAACACAGAGAAGCACAGGGCTCAGGTGGCATCACTCAAGATGGGGAGGGGTCAGTGTGACAGCTCATTCTCTAGGGGTCAGGAAGGGAACTTCTCTGCACTGCCTGTGCACCTGCTCTGTGAGTTCTGCTTGTTTTAAAATTTATTCTACAAGTTAAAGATGGGAATTTAAGGAACACTTAAATTTCACTTAAAGAAGCAAATACCTCAATAAATGCAGCCCCAATCCTGCTGTTCCTACAAAGCCAGGTCCTCCACCATGTTTCCTTCTCACCAATTGTACTAATGCTTTTCCCAGCCAAGCATCTGATGCATTTAGGTATTTCCTATGCTCTTGTTTAGCTGGAGATATAGGTTGTGGTGTTTAATTTGCCCCAGTTGTTGATCTGTGTAATTTTGAATGTATGTGGAAAAAATCTGGATTTATGTGGTAATTCTTATTGTGTGTCAATCAGACATCCTTATTAAAATATTTGAAAGACTCCACATTTTTTATCTAGCATTTTTGGTAGTTTCATTTTTCATAGTTCAGATTTTCTAGGTGGATATAGAAATAGAAATCTTTCTCTAACATTGAAAAATATATTGTACCTTAGTTGCATATTTTATTGCTAGTTTTTTTTTTGTTTTTTTTTGAGACAGTCTCGCTTTGTTGCTCAGGCTCGAGTGAGTGCCATGGCGTCAGCCTAGCTCACAGCAACCTCAAACTCCTGGGCTCGAGCAATCCTTCTGCCTCAGCCTCCCGAGTAGCTGGGACTACAGGCATGCGCCACCATGCCCGGCTAATTTTTTCTATATATATCAGTTGGCCAATTAATTTCTTTCTATTTATAGTAGAGACAGGGTCTCGCTCTTGCTCAGGCTGGTTTTGAACTCCTGACCTTGAGCAATCCGCCCACCTCAGCCTCCCAAGAGCTAGGATTACAGGCGTGAGCCACCGCGCCCGGCTTATTGCTAGTTTTTTGTTGTGGCATTCAATGCCAGAGGAAACAACCAGATGTCTCTATGGTTTTTGGAGTATGTTAGAAAGCCTGGAGGTAACTCAGGGATTGTTCTGCAGTGGGACAAGCAGTGTCATATTATATGTCAGAGGATCTCTTCAACACACACTCCTCCCAACAATGAAGAGATCTCTAATAGTCCATTTATTGTCCACTATTTGGTTACACAGATTTTAAAAATGTGTTAGTATGATGAGTGTGTAAGGTATACACTACTCTTCTCCTATTTTGTGTTATGTTCATATCTGGGATATGTTGACACACACATTTTACAAGCTTCCTCACCATCCGTGAACTCTTGATGACATTTGCTTATATCTTAGGAGGATTAGATATGTCCTGATTTCCTTGAAGGAGTTCTTTATATATTCTGCATACTGATATCTGTGCATGGGGGAATAAAGTAACTTTTCAAGGTAAGTCCTGCTCTGTAGTGAGGACTGACGTCCAATGGGAGCAGGTGCAGTCAGGGCTGAGGACAAGGGAAGTCATGCTGAGGGGGACCTGTGTGGGGGCAAACCCAGAAAACATCACAGTCCCTAAGACAGAACATGCGTTTGCATCCAGGGTATGAGGACAAGGTGTAAATTCCCCGCAGGCAGACTGCTGGGAATTTACACTGTGTTTCTACAGGAAGTCTTCACAGCATCACTAGGTTTATTACTGCCTGACATGGAGGACATGAAATTCCATTGACTCTCTACTGGGGTATAAAGCAAAATCTCAAATTCATTTAGATTTTGTGGAAAATTGAGATCTTTATTTAAATATCTATGCAGTACAAAAATTGCTATATGAAACAATCTTGAATATAATTTTTCTTAAAAAATTCTTCTTTAATATTTTTATTTATTTATTTGAGAATCTTATGGAGGTACAAATACTTTGGTCTGTTCATGTTCTTTGGTCAATTTTTTTTTTTTTTTTTTTTTTTTTTTGAGACAGAGTCTCGCTTTCTTGCCTAGGCTAGAGTGAGTGCCGTGGCGTCAGCCTAGCTCACAGCAACCTCAAACTCCTGGGCTCAAGTGATCCTCCTGCCTCAGCCTCCCGAGTAGCTGGGACTACAGGCACAAGCCACCATGCCCGGCTGATTTATATATATATATATATATTAGTTGGCCAATTAATTTCTTTCTATTTTTTATGGTAGAGACGGGGTCTCGCTCAGGTTGGTTTTGAACTCCTGACCTTGAGCAATCCGCCCGCCTCGGCCTCCCAGAGTGCTAGGATTACAGGCGTGAGCCACCGCGCCCGGCCTCTTTGGTCAATTTTTAATGAGGTTGTTTATTTTTTTCTTCTCTATTTGAGTTCTTTATCAATTCTAGTTATTAGCCCTGTATCAGATGTATAGCACGCAAATATTTCCTCCCATTGTGTTGGTTGTCTGTTTGCTTCAATGATTGTTTCCTTGGCTGTGTACAAGCTTTTTAATGTGATCAGTTCCCATTCATTTATTTTTCTTATTGCTGTGATTGCTTTTGAGGTCTTCTTCATAAATTCTTCACCGAGGCTGATGTCTATGAGTTTTTCCAACATTTTCTTCTAGAATTCTTATAGTTTCGTGCTTTAGTTTTACATCTATTATCCGTCGTGACTTGATTGTTGTATGAGGTAGGAGGTTTGGATCCTGTTTCAGTCTTCTACATGTGGCTATCCAATTTCGCAGCACCATTTATTGATTAGGGATTCTTTCCCCCAGTGTATGTTTTTGTCTACTTTGACAAACATCAGATGGCTATACGGGGATGGTTATCAAGTATTCAAGTTGAAGCAGCAATAAAAATTCTTCCAAAAAAACCACACCCACAAACGAGTCCTAGACGAGATGGTTTCACACCTGAATTTTACAACACTTATAAAGAAGAAGTGGTGCTAGCCTGCAGAAATTTTTCCATAACATCCAGAAAGACTCCTCCTCAACATGTTCTATGAAGCCAACATCAACTTGATATGAAACCCAGGAAAGGACTCAACGAAAAAAGAAAACTACAAACCAATATCCCTTGCCAATATAGAGCCAAAAATTCTAAATAAAGGCCATCAAATGGAATTCATCTGCTCATCAAAATAATAATCCATCATGATCAGGCAGGCTTTATCCCAGAGGTGCAGGGATTGTTTGACATACGCAAATCTATAAATGTGATTCATCACAAAAATAGAAGTAAAAACAATGACCACGTTATCTTCTCAATAGACACAGAAAAAGCATTTGACAAAACTCAGCACCCTTTCATGATAAAACACTTAACAAAATAGCTTTCACGGGAGCACTGCCTTTCAGGTGTTCGCTTCTTCTGACTTTATCCTCTATAATTGTCCCTACAGTCGAGTGACTGAAGTCAAATGTTTTCCTAGTGAACGATGGCTTACTTATTTCTTTCGTTTCTACCATAATCACCTGTGTCTTCACCACAGGCTCACCTGGACTCGCAGGGGACGTTCGCTCTGGAGACCTGGTCATAAACGTAAACACAGACTCACACGATGGAATAAAAAGTTACCATGAAAATGACGCTGTGTGTAAACAGACGATGAGACCAGCCGGAGCGTGAAGATGTTGGGACAACACGTCACCACGCCGTGCGGGTCTGTTTATATTCGACAAAGAAATAAGGTTCCAAGTTATTAACTCCGTCATCTGTAGCACAGGGACTGCCTGTGTCTGCTGTCCACAGCCAAAGCGGGAGGAGAAAAGGGCTTTCATTATCGACACTTCATTTTCAGCCACTCAGAACTTCAAGTGCAAAAACTCCACTTCTTAGCACCGAGAGAAACAGGCTGATACGCTATGGAAACGTGTAACAGGATCATGACTAGGGAATAAAACCCTGAGATGTGGGATGTGCAGTTCCACTGTGGCCGCTGGCAGCCTCTGGATGTGCGGAGGCTTGAGCTCCTGGAGGTCTGGACAGCAGCGGCAGGTGCTGACAGATGGCAGCCAGACAGGAGCGTGTGAACCGCGCCACGCTCACACAGGCTTGGCAGAGCTGTTTCCAACTTCAGAAAAGACACAAGTGTTGGTTTAGGAGACTGAGGAGACCCTGGGCCAGTTCTCCTGGGCCGTCCATCTCCAGTCACTCTCCCTGTCAGAGGGGACCTGTCACTAAGGGACATGTTTTTCCCTGCTACCCCCATGCCTGGCGCCTGCAGTCTGTACCCAGCTCCACCCCCATTTCCAATCACAGATCAGCCCAGGCACTGCCACAGACCCTGTGGCTCAGGACTGAGGCTGCTGAGGGATGGTCCTCGCCCCACGCAGTGCCTCCTCCCTCTCATGGGCCCTGCAGCCTCGGGGCCTGTCAAGATAGGGCCTGGCTCCATGGCGCCCTGGCCTCAGGAGGGGCTGCAGGCAAACATCCTTCTCTCCCCTTCTCTCAGCCTCTCAACACCCTGGGAATGGCACCCACAACCCTGAATGTGACTGTCCCCATCCATCCCTGGTCCAGCTCAGGTGGACTCCATGGGACTCCAGCCACAGCTCAGCCCACCTGTCCTCAGAGTCAATTCTGCTCATCCGCTGGCTCAGGGTCTGGAGTGTGCAGGAGGCTGCGTGTCAGGGACACAGCCCAGGGCCCAGCCGGAACCCCAGGGTCAGGGGGGACTGGCCTGTTCTCAACCTCGACCTGGACACTCTCTGCTCTCAACCTTCCAGCTTAGCTGCTATGCCCCCAGCCACGATCCGGGGAGTGTAGCCCTGAAATCCAGCCTTTGAAATTGGGAGTGTCAAAGCCATTGCAGCTCCTCCTCCTGGGATTAGACTCAGTTCTTCTCCTCTGTTCCTTGTAAATAAAACCTATTTCCCTCTGAAACATCACCTGGAGCCACCGAGGTGCTGCCCGTGCCCGTGGTCCTGCTGTCTGCTCGCCCCCAGCATGGCCCGTAGGACACACAGCCTGCTCTGAAAACCCCCTGATGCTGCTGCTCCCCTCCAGTGTCCAGACCCCCCAAGCCTTGGTGTGGGCCCTCCCTTCTTGCTGGCCTGTGACAGTGACAACTCATCAGAGCTCAGGGTGGGCTGGCCCAGGGTACTACGGTCAAGGGACATGAGATCTCTCTCCCCTGTCTCATTCCAGGATTAGAAGGTCCCATGGAAGGGGCAGGGAGAGGGGCAGGAGCTCTGGGAGTCCCTTCTGTGTCCTCCCACCTCACCACCTGCCCCAGTCCCCTCCCAATCTGCCCACGGCACCTGTCACTCTGTGTACCTTTTCCAGATGGAGATGAAAAGGAAAGTGAAGATGCAGCTGATGATGATGGCAACTCTGGACCTGGGTTGGTCAGTGCCTGTGGCGTTGGTGGGTGGTACTGAAATGAAAACATGAGAGTGAAGCCCTGGTCCAAGCCCCAAATTTGAGGAGACACCTCCTCAGCTGATGCTATCCCAGGTCCTCATGTAACCCTTATGTCTGTGCTCTCTACTGTGTCGCAGCCACAGGGACAGGTCCCGAGCTAGGATGGGAGGCAGGGACATGTCCTGTCCTCAGGGAGCTCCCACGCTGCTGAGGGAAGCCAGGGGACCCCATGACCCATCCCTCCTGCCCTGGCAGAACAGGAAGGGATGGCTGAGGGTGGGGTAGGGGAGGGTGTCTGGAGCTGGCATTCGACGAGGTTTGGAAGGATTTCTAGAAACAGACCAGGTGAGAGGAAAGGAGAAGTGGTTCTAGCAGGAGGGAACAGTCAGCCTAAGTCTGGAAACATCATGATGCCCACAGTTTGGAGGCTATTTAGGAAATCACAATGAATGGACCAAAAGTATATGCAGTGAGGAAGAGATGTCAGTAGATGAGAGGAGAAAAGGACAATGGTGACCAGACTAATGTTGTTTCCCCCTAAGAAAAACCCACCATGAGTACATTATTTTTCTTTACACACACACACACACACACACACACACTCACCCTCTTTCGCACATCCTGGGGTAATTAGATCTGAATTCCAGAGACCTACCATATGTATTGTTCCACAGTAAGCACACACACTCAATGTCTTCTGTCAAGATGATAGGCAAGACGATGAGCACTTCGTGGGCATGCTTGCAGTTCTTCAATTGACCACCTGCCTCAGGAAGCTGTGTGTAGTTTCTGTTCTTAACTTCACTGGATGGTGAAACTTCTCCATCAATGGTTATCGTGCAGGTGTTAGTGATGTGTCCATTGGCTTCAGGATGAGAAGACATCCTGATCTCCACGGTGCGAAGCTCTGTCCCCAAGGGAAAAAGATCAGGTCTGGCCTTGACAAATCCTGTGCCCCCACCCTGTTCCCTTCCTATCTCTTTGCCGTTCTCTCTCTGCGACATCTTGGGTTTGCTCCCCGACCCATTGGGTCAGATCAAAACCCCTCCCCCTGTTTTTTTTTTTTTTTTTTTTTTTACATGAAAGCAACAAAGGCCTGTAACCTCCCACAGTGTCTGCTCTCTGCTGGCCTGAGTCATTGTAAGCTTACCCCAGAGTATGCAATTCTTGCACTGAACATCACGTCCTTGTTGTGTGAGGTCCTGATCCTTGCAGGCCACTGTGCCATTTACTTCCTTATCCAGGGCACAGACATTTTTTACATCATCCAGGTTTTGAAACTTACACCACCATTCTGCAAATGTGGAGTTATGATCCGTGATGAACGGGCAATAAAGAGAGTAAGTTTCTGTGGAGGAGAAAGGCAGGTGAGGGCTGGGTAGGAAGAAAGGCACCCTGAGATACCACTACATTATGACAGGAAGAGACTCCCTCTGAAGGGCTGGGTGGCTGAGCGAGGATTCCCCTTCCTGGGTTGTCATGTCCACCAGATCAGGCCACCGTCCCTCCCTTGTTTGAGGAGGAGGAAGTGAGGTCTGTGCCTGACAAGAAAGCACATGTGCCAAGACATGTCCCAGCTGCCCTCTGCCCACACGGGTCCGCACATGGCCTCGCAGGGAGGTGCCCGCCTGCGGTGGGAGCAGAGGCCTGGGTGCCAGAGCACCTTCAGCAGCAGCCCACGTGGGTGCGGGAGGGAGAGTGGAGGGGCTGCTCTGGGGATGCTGGGCAGGCAGGGCGGGGTGAGGGTGGGATGCAGGTCACATACGGGGAGTTCACTGTCATGGGTCACAGGCTTTAACACGTTGGCAAAGCCCTGGCGTGATGCTCATCTGCTATGAGGATGTGCTGGTGGAACCTTGGACACAGGCACGGTGCACACGGCATGGAATAGAAAGTGCAGGACTTGTGTGGCGGGCGGTGGAGGAGGGGATCCGAAGGCTCAGGGCAGTGCACGTGCTGAGTGGCTGGAGTGTGGCACCCAGAACAATGTCCTCTGCACTGTGGTGGGTAGGACAGCCCGAGGGACCCTTGCCTACCAAGCACAGAAAGAATGTACGGCGCGAAGGGCCCCGCCCTTGTGAACGAGCTCGGTGATGCCTGTTGCTGAGGCAGGGTTGGCGCTAGGAGACGCTGCTCCTGAAATGGCCCCCAGTGGTAACAGTGTGAAACATGCCGAAGTAATCCGAGTGAGGCGCTTCACTGTCAGAACCAAGGAGGGTGCATCGACAGATGTGACTAGAGAGCCACAGAGGGCCATGCCCACGGCTAACAGGACATAGGGAGCACGAGGCAGAACAGATGGCAGCCAATCCCGATACTGCCAGATTTACACGGTCACAACAAATGCAAAACACAGAATGGATGCTCAGGAGGCTAAAGGCAGCACCTTAGGGAGAAACTGGGCTTCCCTGCCCTATTTTCAGAACAGAGCCACTTCTAAGGCCTAGAACCCATAACAGGAGAGCCCACGTTCCCAGGAGGGCCCCTACAACCCCCGAGCAAGGGCAGTGGCTCCTTCAGCCTCCCCACAGCGGCATCTGGGCCTTCCCTCTGGGAGCAGCACACCAGGAAAAGGAAACACTCAGACCTTCCTACTAGAGAGTGTGTGCTGACCTCCTGCCCAGGGACTGAGACACCATGCTGCCCCTGTTACTGATGAGGCACCTCTGGGGCAAGGTAATGAATGGACACCTGTCCCAGCCCTGTCAGAAGGGGGTCCTGGGTTCATAGACCCACTCAATGGAGATTCCACATTTTCTGAGTTTGCACCAGGGACAGACAGCCCTTGTAGTTAATGTGGTAACTATCTTAGGCTTTGCAGGCCATATGATGTCTCCTGCAACTACTGAACTCTGCTCTTGCAGCTTGAAAGAAGCCTTAGACAATATATGAATACGTGAGTGTGGCTGGACCTGTCACTTAAGGCCATGTGTCCAAGAATACTCCAAGATCCTAGAGGCACATGTGGTTGGAAAAGGGGCTTTGTGGAATTCACGGCAATTCCTAATCGGGGAAGCACAACATGGCCTCCCAGTGCCCAGCGGCAAGGCCCTCCCATTTGCAGCAGGGAAATGCCATCACTGAAAGTGGCTGCAATATGGCTGGGCCCTGGTAGACACGGGACCTCCAGTCATACCATACCAGTGTCCACACAGCCTCGGAGCTGCTCATCATGGGATGGGCTCCTCACCTACCAGGTCACTCGGGAGATAGGCCCAGCAGTGACAAGACACAGGTGATCCTCCTGGGACTGGCAGGAGCAGGGCCAGAGGGAATAAAGAAGTTGCATAAGCAGGTGTCCCGATGCACAGGACACCACACTATTGTCCCAGCATGTCCCCAGGGCAGGGAGTGTGGCTTGGCCCATGAGGACCAGGAGGCCACAGCAAAGATGGGAGCAGCAGGCCCCAAACCATAGGACCCTCACTCCCACCTCATCCACCCCACCCAGAAGCCTCAGGCAGGGAAGGACCCGCTTCTCACTCTTCACCTTGAGCAGACACACAACACCCTGGGGATGGGACACCCATCCCTGGGACACTGTGAATATCCTCATCTGGGGTCAGCGAACTAATACACTGGCTGCATCTGGTCCCCCACTGTCTGCAGGTTGTCTTTGCATGCTTTTGCTCTACAGAGGGACTGCACTTGACACAGAGAAAGAGCCAACCACTGCAGAGAGGAAAGCGTCCAGTCCCTTCCCTCTGTGGAAAACCTCCGCTGACTCCTGTGTAAGAGGCGACTATTGCGTGTGATCCTGTCGCTCCAGCAGGCAGAATAGGGGGTGAGGGACCCCAGGGCAGACGTCGGTGCCTCTGCTTACCAGTGTCCCCAGGGTCATACTAGGGGAAAGGTCCTTCCCATCCCTCCTACTTTAGGTCTGTGTGCAGGTTGGCGTGTTTGCTGGATGTGTCCCTGGGCAAGGGAGACAAGGTGCCAGTTGGTGGAGGTGTTAGGGCCCCTTCATGGATGGGGGCCCCTTCATGGATGGGGAGGGGAGGGAGGCCTGTGGGGGGACAGGGGGCTGAGGTGGGGAGTGAAAGGAGTGGCCTGTGCATTGGCGTAGTGAGTGGTGGGGGAGGGGAGGGAAGTGTCTGGGAGCCCCTGCCCTGCAGGTGATATCCTGGGTCTAAGCACAGCAGGAAGTTCAAGGGCACAGAGCCTGGGGTGCTGGAGGGTTAGTGTGGGGCATTTTGTGAGAGCAGAGTAGCACCTGTGGTTGTCCCAGGGGTGTCTGTGGTCGTGTGCCTGAGGGATCTCCCGCTACTCTCGCCCCTTGTACGGACCACACCCCCGTCACTGTCCAAGGCAGCTGCAGCCTCCGGAGGGCGGGGACGGGTTGGGCAGGGGCGCTTCACCTGGGATTCTGGCCTTATCCATACCTCTTGCCCCTCCTGTCCTCCTGCGTTGACTTTTTACCCCCTTTCTGCCCCTCTGCTCGCGGGCGGTGAGAAGCAGAGGGCGTGGGCTCCGGAACCGGCCAGAACCGGCGGGAGGGCGCCCGCGGAGCGGACCTGCGGAGCGCGGCGCGCAGTCCCGGAGCGCG